TTAAACCTCTGATACTGTTTTGTTTCAATTACTGAAACAAATGTTAGGATTACAACACCAATAAGTCAATCCATTCTTGAAGAATTTGCCTTTATTATATTCATATTGAAAAATTTACAATTTGTGTTTATCTAGTGAAATCCCACCTTATACTATTTTCTTATTGAAAAATTAAAATTTGTGTTTATCTATTGGAATCCCTGACCAACTAAAGTAAAATATTTAGTCTCTATCGGGTATTATCACTTATTTGGGTGTTTAATGCATATTGTTCATTGGGTTGTGGTTGAATTCGTTGAAAGCTTATTTTCTAAAAATTAAACTTTGTGTTAATTGTCACCTTACAAGGAATATAATGCATTAGAAAGCGTATCTTGAGTAAACAGCACTTAAACATTCATCTCTTCTGACTTTAATATTCATTATCTCTTCTGACTAACAGAAGATCCCCATATTTTTAGTTTCATTTTTTGATACTAATCTTTTTTAAAAAATAAAACTTACAAGAATGTTAGGTGCTTCATAAGTTATAGCTAATTATCTATTTTGTTTCATAGTGAGTTTCATTCATGAACTACGGATGATGCGGGAGGCAGTAAATATATATCCCTCTCAATATTTAGAAATTTAAAAAAGTCCTTATATTTCAGAAACAAATAAGTTATAATAAAGTGAACTAAGTTTTAAACAATTTAAAAGATTAAAAAAATGTTCTTTTTAAAGCTAGATATAGATAAATTTAAAATAACAAGGTAGTTTCATTTATTAAAAAAAACTGATGGTGTTGCACTTGTGAGTAGAATTTATTTTGGAAGAGTTGTATTATACAGTAATTTTTCTGAAATTAAATGTTAGTACTCTGTGCATTTAAAAATGCTCTTGAGTAATGATTTTAATAGACATTTATGTAGTCTTAACAATGATTTTTTTAAGTATTATTTGCTATAGCTTTTTCAAAATTCCAATATTTTTATTCATTTTACGTCATATACAATCAGAAATTATTTTTGACACGTATAACCAGTGCCGATTTCTTCGTAAGCCTACATGATTATACCAATCACTTTTCGATAGTATTGTTGCCGATTTCAATATACTTTTTATAATTGATTTTCTTTAATATGATACTATAACTATATATAAATTTGGCATCTTCTAATTTAAATTTATTAAAGCTCATTTCTTTTCTCACTAGTGTGAAATAAAAATGCGTTGATTATTAGCTTTTTACTGTATTAACAAGTAGGCAAACACTTTTCTTTCTTTAATATTATAAGTTTAATGATTTGTCTTTTAGGTGGAACAAAAATGCCGCAGGAAACATTTGATTCGTATGTAACAAAGATATTGTCAAAGGTAAGTTCAAATAGTAGGAAAATGTGTACTGATCTAATTTTTGTCTTAACTGTATTGTTTGCTACTTCTATGCGTGTTTACTTTTTTAATTTATATTTTTTATTGGATAAACATCAACAAGTGAAACTTTAATTATTTCTGATCTAAAACAATTCATTGAATTATAATTCATTTGTGTTTTTGCGAATTTTAGTCCATTTATAAAATAATAATTTAACAAACAGTAATTATACAAAAGTTGAAGACACATAAAAAATGATATGTGGAACAAAATATATAAATTATTCTAAAAATATCCATTATACATATTCAGTTAGACAGTCATATGATATTAGAACATGTATGGATTTATATGTCTAACATTTTCATAATGTAGTTAATTACTTGGCTTAATTTTGAGAATAGGAGACTCAAAAAAGAAATTCCAAAATTTCTGGCTTGGGTTAGAATCCCCGTAGATGATTGTACTCCGGAAAAAATCCAGATTATTTCTTTAACCGTGATCTGGAAGTTTCCGGAAATCCAAAGTCAAGAAGTTTCAAGAAATCATTGATCACATACGTGTATGAAAATTCTTGTGTATTTTATTTAAAAATATTAAAACTAGAATTCATACTTAACAACTCTTTCATTTGTAAATATTTTTTTCTGGTCGAATAATAAAAGTGATTAGAGATAAAAATAAACTTATACATAATTATTCAATTAAATTTTGCTGCATATAATTTATTTAGAATTTCCTGTTTTGAAAATATCAATGATTTAAATTTATAAAGACAAGTGTCCTGAAGAAATTTTCAGGATTTTTGAGTTGGGCTCACTATTACCCCTGAATCCCTCAATTGCTGTGGCAAAAACAAACAGGCAAAATTAATGATGTTAAAAATAGTTCAAAAATCGCAAATATTAAAACGATCATTCATTCTAAAATAGTCTTATTTAATTTTTTTAATAGTCTTATTTATTTAGTGTAACATTTTTGGTTTTCAAAGGCAGTTATTACGAGTTTTAAAATACTGTTATTTTTATACGATATTATTATGACGTGAAATTAGAATCACACATTTAATAATTCAATATGTTCTGTGAAGGTTATATAGTTTTTTTTGCACAATTTTCCAAAAGTAATTGTTACTAATTTTCAAATGACTTTTAAAATCTTACTATTTTTTAAAACAATATTATTTATTTCGATGCACAAGTTGCGCATTAGTAAAACCACATGCTTTTGGGGTCTATCTCTTTTTCAACAGTTATATTGCCACTTTTAAAAATATTTGTTATTTTTTTAAATGCGATTATGATTTGCAAATGGCAAAAAAGAAAAAGGAATGTGCATAAACAAACGTGTAACATTTGCACTTAGTTAATTTTTTTTCTTTTATTATTGATTTATAAAAAAATAAGTCATTTTTCAGTAAATAATTAGTTATCCAATTAATACACTTAAAAAAGCTTATATACCATTTATTTCTATACATATCTTTTTTATAAACACAAAGCTCTTTTGTAAGTATAAATTGGATTTATATTTATTACTGTTATAAATATTTCCTAGAAGGATATTAGTTCTAGTAAAGATTTTGCAGACATCTAGAAAAATTCTGCCATAGTTTGGTATGACCCTTAGTAGTATAAATCATAATAGTTTAATAATACAAATCATTTTAAACTTCTGTCATGTTTCGCTGTGCAAAATCATTTAAACAATAAAAATTTGTTTTTAATAAAATTCAATAAATAATTGTGTGAAACATGATCTTTTTTTTATATATATATATATTTTGCATTTGAAAGTATATTTTTGTAAATGTGTCAACATAGTATGATTTGGACCAAGGTATTCTTACAAAAGATACGTTGGTTCGCTGTACAAGATTTGTTGAAAAGAAAAATGATTAATTGAAGTAAAATTTGTTTCAATAAAACATTTTTAAAATAATCATTAATGGAGAAAAGTATGTATTTTGTCGTTTAGAAAATTTTTTTAATTATATGGACAATTGTTCAATAAGATAAAAAATACAAACTGAAAAGTGGACTAACTTCAGTTTCTTCTATATGTAAGACCAGATTCATGTAAATTAAATAATTATTGAAAATTGTGGAATAAATCCAAATCATTACTATTCTCAGTAATTCTGATTGATTTTGGAAACTACTGGTCCTTAAGACCCAGGACTTAAAAATTTCTGTGTCTTTTCTTTACTAAAAGCAGGTTGTTATTTAAAGTATAATATAAAGCACTTAAGATGTTATTTGTTTCTAAAAATTAAAATATTCTGCATAAAAGAATTTAAATAAACACTTTAAATGGTGTTTGAAACTAGAAAAAGGAGGGGAAAGTTGTGTCCAATATTTAAAAAAATTCTTGGAGATATAAATTAAGTTTTTTTTTTAAAAATCTTTGATATTGCGCAAATGAATCTTCTTTATCTATCTATTAATTTGCTCATTACATACCTGCCAACTTGCTCCCATTTATCAAAATATTTTTATTTGAATATTTAGAGTGACACTAAATTTTATGATTTAATTTTTTATTATGATTTTATGAATTAATTTCAGATTGATTTTTTCCAACGCTACATATAAACAATTTAAATATGTACATTAAACCAAATAATTGTGCAGAGAAAATATTTTTTAGTGAAAGCAAAGAAAATATTTTTTTTCTCTAAATTTAATAAAGTTCAACTTAAACTGACAAAACAAGGAATTCAAAACAAACAATTAATATAATATAATTTATTTACTTGATAGACTTAACAAAAAAATTTGAATAAGGAAAGAGTTAGTATATTTGAAACCTGAGTTTTTCATTAGAACTTACCAACTACATCAAGAAAAAGCAATAATGTTGTTTTTTGGTTTAATTTAGCTATGTTCTGCTTATGTGCTATTTTTTGTTCTTGATGCAGAATTAGGTATCCCAAAGGGCTGGTCATAACTTTTTTTCCACATCCCTTCTACAATTTTCGACATTTTACATGCTATAGCGTATAAGCGAAACTGCTGATTCTTTAAACAGAAACTTAGTATTTGATAGATATAACAAATAAGATAACATTCTTGTCTTTCAAGATAAAGTTAATTGTTTAAACTAATTAGAAATTGATAAATTACTATTAATTAACAGTTTTCTTCTTGAAGATGCTACATTAAAATGAGACTAATAATTTAGTACTACGTAATAAAGTGAAAAATATTTTGATCACAATGTTTTGTCTAGTAATATTTTCTCATTCTCATTAACAGCACAGCAACATTTTTAAGATAAGATTTAATTGCTTTATTCAGTGAAATGTGTGTAAGCCCTGACAAACTTATGTTCTCACATTGTTTCTTTTATAAATCAGTTTCACTATGTTTGTAACTTAGGGATCATTCACTAATAAAGTATTTCCATATAGGTTCAGAGCAATGAACAATCACAGAGCTCTTTGTCTGAAACTTGTTATTTTATCATTATTTGAATCATTATTTTATCTTTAGTTATTTTATCATTATTTCATATCATTATCATAATTTTATCTATTTGTTTTTTAGAGTCCAAACATTTTTTGGCATTTTGCTAATTTTATATACACATAGATAAACTTTTATCAATTGGAACAAAAATATTCTTCTTAGTGTGCAAATCCTAATTGTGAAGGTTCTTAAAAATATTTTTTGAGTGTTTCGCGAGTATTTAAAAGATGCTCATTTTTTGCTGGAAAATTTGACTACCTGCCCTGATAGATTTTGATTTTTTTCCTGCCATATCATTTAACAAGATCATTTTTTATTTGGAAAAAAGGTTTTGAAAGTAGCTTCCAGCTGTTTCTATGTTTTCTACATCTGTTGTATTTATTACCAGCAAAATTCAAAGTTTGGCATTCTGTGGAGTGCCTGGGCATTGTATGTAATGCTTAAAACTAGCCAGTAATGTGTAAAATAATTTATATTATAAACTTTTCGTACATAATGCCAAATTAGAAGTAGGCAAAGTATCAAATACATTTCAGATTTGTTTCAAATGTTAGTCAAAGTGTCATTCAAGCCTTCCATATTGATACATCAAGTAGGTTAATTTTAATTTCTTATTTTTCTTACATGGAAATTTTGTTTCTTTTTAATAAGAACGTTAAATTTCTTTATGTATTTTGAATTTTTTTTTTAATGAATCTCATTTTTTTAGACTAACATGCATTTTTGAGGAATGCATGTCATTTATGTAACAACCTTCTTAAGATCTTTTTTCTTACTTTGCCTAAATAGCATTTGTCATTCTATAGAATGCCTATGTATTATTACAATGCCTAGGGAAAGTATGTAAGATTTTTCATTATATTTTGCCTTAAAGCGTCCAGCATTATATCATTCCATACTTTACCGGTAACATCTGTAAATCCGATAAAATGTCTTTGAAAACTTTCTTTCACCAAATTTCATACTAGATATAAATATCTCAATATTTCTTGGATATATCTTTTAAAAAATTTGTCCTATTTATTTTTAATTTTTGTTTTTATTTATTTTTTTCGTGTCCTTATTTATAAATTTAAATAATTGATTATTTATCATTATCAGGCATTTGTTTTCTCATCATCAGTTGTCAATGATTTTTTTTTTTTTTTAGTTGAATTCAAATTTTATTGTTACTTAAAGCATTTAGTGCTAAATACATGTAATTTATTGTGTATATTTCTCTTTATTAATTCAGAAATAAGAAGTTGGGCATTCTTTTAATTATATTTTATTTTTTTATAGTATCAATATCCAGATAGAGCAAAACGTGATGTTAGTAATGCCATTCAACGTTATAAAAATTTAAGGCCTAAACTAGACACTTATGGTAAGTAATTATATCTCAAAATGTATTTTTCTTGTTATGTTAAATTTTTACAAAAAAAAAAAAAACCCCATTAAAAAGCCATCAAGCTTGAAATCTTAGTTTTATCTTAGAAAAGTCCTTAAATTAATTTTTATTTATTTTGGTATATGAATTTGTTAAAAAATTAAAATTCCCACATTAAAATTCCTTGTCCTTATTTTTGATGATATTTTTCTTATTTCTAGTTTTTAATGATGGCAATAGACAAGAATTAGCTTGCCTTGATGGTACTATCCCTGTTATGTATAAAGGTAAGGAATTCTTTTGTATATAAAGGTAAGGAAAAAATAAAATTCCTTATGATAAAATTGTTCAGGACCATTGACTGATTCACTTCAATTGTCAAAACATTCATTTCTAATTAATTTCTTTTAATAGTTAACAAAGATAAAATTAAACTTCTTTCAACTTAGACATATTTAAGTTATATAACATGTCTGACTTTTCCTTCCTTTTTTACTATATGAGTTGACTCCACCAATGAAAATTTAGTGGTCCAAAAATACCTGTTTATTTTTTACGTGGTACTCCAAAAATATAACATGATAGATAAATGTAAAAAGTCTGTTATACAAGTACAAAAAATAAAAATATATTTTAATTTTCTTATATTGTTCTTCAAATGGTATAATGTATGTATTTATGCAAAAAAAATCATATTATTTGATATGTTACACAATTTTTTTGTAAAAAATTTTACATAGTTAAATTAAGTTTAAATTTTGTTATTTAATGATATATTTATATCCTGTATTTCTGACTTTTTAACTAAGTGACATATTTAATTAAATCAGCATTTATTGTGTTAAATTTTATTTATATCCTGTTTTTGCTACTGGCTACAGACAAACAGCATGTGATTTATAACTTAACTTATAGATATAACTTAATTAGTATTTAAAAGAAAATACAATTTGTAAACATGTATGCCTTAGTTATTTATATTTTAAAAGTGACATTTCTTATAAAACTTAAAAAGAAATTTAATTTTAATCTTATTTTCCATTACATGACTTGTAATTGCCTTATGATGTTAACCAGTGCCTCATGCTTAGAACAAATTCAAGTGTTACTTATAAGATATGCTTATGGAATCAGAACCTAAGTTCTATAAAAAGCAAAATGTTTTGTTTTAATCATTTTGTCATTTAACTATTTATTGCCCATTCACATAAAGCAGCAAATTGTTTTTATTTCTAATTTTGTTTTAATCTGTTTCACAAAAAGAAAAAAAAAAGAAAGGAAAATTCACTTGTTCCAAACTAATTTCTAATACAGTTTTTTATAAAGTATTCTTAAGAGTTTATAATATTTTTTTTTTGTTGTTGGCATTATGTATTTTTGATTCATCAGTTAATATGGTGTTGCTAATGAAAAATATTTATTTGCAACTCTATTTTACATGCTTATTTCACATTGAAGCATAATTTATGCAAGTTGGAATCAATTGAATAAGCTATCATTTAACAGAATGATTCTAAGGTTAAATGTGGATTTTGTAATTTTGAAACAAATAGAAGAGTCATTGTTTTTCATGAAGTTTATAATTTTCTTATGTTTGCGTGCTTATTTTCTTTAACCGAATAGTTAAAATAAAGCTTACCTACTTTATATATAATTGCATTGTTATTATTAGATTTCTGTAAACCTTTTTTTTTTTAAGTTGGTATCTAGAGCTCACGATTTCAAGTCTTTTTTAAGCCAGTTAAAGTTTAGAAATAAGTGAATTATAACAATCAATATTTAATAGTGTAAAATATTAAAAAAAAAGTTCTGAATTGAAATAATAATGTGTTATTATTTTAAACTTTTATGTGAATATTTCATAAATATCTTTTCGATTCATTTTAGGAACTTATTATCATATACCTGTATGTATCTGGCTTTTGGATTCACATCCTTACAATTCACCTATGTGCTATGTAAAACCAACCTCTGACATGCAGATAAAAGCTTCTCGACATGTTGATACTAATGGACGAGTTTATTTGCCATACCTGCACAACTGGAATCCAGTAAGAATAAAAATATTTATTTTACATACATATGACATTTTAAGCAAATGGTAACATTTCTTCTTTTATTTTCTTATAGGATACTTCAGATTTATTAGGAGTCATACAAGTAATGATTATAGTATTCGGTGAACAGCCACCAGTTTATTCTAAACCAAAACAAAACTCCTCAGCTTATACTTCTTCTACACCTTATCCTACTGAGCCATCAAGTAAGTTAAATACTTTTGTTTTTTTTTTGTGAAAATTTTTTAGTTACTGTTTTTTATGTATGTTACTTATTGCTCTCATTTAAATTAGCAAAATTATAAAAATAATGCTTTTTTTAAAAAAATTTTATGCCCTCCTTTCCCTCTTTCCATAGTCCCATGGTTGAATAACAGTATTGGTTAAGATGTTGTGCAGGTAAAATGAGAGAAATTGCAATGATCTAAATCAGGAATGTTGAGCAGAAGTTCGTGTGCGTTTTCATGCCTTTTTTCCATCTAAAAGTTTGGTTAATAATCCCATAGTTGAATCACAGCATTGATTAAGATGTTGCACATGTGCAGGCACAGTGAGAGGAATGGCAATAAGGCTCTAAATTAGAAATCTTAAGCAGAAGTTCGTGCTACGACGGATTTAATGTGGGAGAGTATGTTACTGCAAAATGATCCAACACATGAACATAAAGTTTTGCTTCAAATTAGACAGATTTTCAAGGGTAGAAATTAAGAAAATTTAACCACTAGTCCAAAAGACCATTAACTAGAAAATATTACTAGTCACACACATTTTCATTTGTAAACATACATGCCTCTGTTAGATTTAAAAAAAGAAAATTAATGAAGTGAATTTAAAATAAGAATTATAATACAGAGTGTATTGTCCTCGATTATTATGGAATATGCATTGGAAATAAAACACAAACTAAAACATGAAGCTAAAATCACTAAACCATCTCTTTATATCGATATTGAACTGAAAATTATTTTATAGTTTTCAGAGTGAAGGTATAGTGGTCCTAAACCAGCAGACCATCCTTAATTTCGAACCATGGAGTGTATGCTGTGTTGAAATTGCCTTTTTTGTGGTTTCTAAAAGTCTTACAATTTACCTGAAAAGTGTATTGTTGCTAATGGCAATAACTTTGATGCCATTAAAGGCCTTATTATTTATATATCTTTGCTCTTTTATTTTATTAGTCTATTCACTTAATTTTTTGAATGTTCTTTTGTTAATTGTGCATTCATCAGCACTCAAAAGAAAGGAATTTGTAAGAAGTATTGAATGAAAGGCAATTTTAGACTTCAGTTCATAATTTATTAATAATTTTTTAATGGTTAAGTTATAAATTATTCAAACCTTTCAATCATCTATTCTCCTTAAAAATATTTTTTATGAAGTTGTTTGCTTTCAGGTAAGTTACATGAAGGTTTCTTTGTCCATTCTTTCTCTAAGATTTTGCACTGTGTAAAAATGTAATTATCTATTTAAAAAATTTTGTTTTAATTTTTATATTAAGCATGAAGTTTGATTCTAATATTTCTAAAAAAAGAAAATAAATAAATAATTTTTTAAAGGATAACTTCAATGAATATATATCAAAAAAAATTTCTTTTGATTTTAATAGTTACTTAAATTTATAAAAATTTGCTGATTATTAGTTATTTTCTATATTTGTTTTATAAATTTTTTCAGCATTAATTTCTGTTATATTTTTTTTTTAATTATAAACACCTGTGTGATATAATCACACTGTATAAGTAACTTACATTATTCATAATATATATATTTCACACTTAGTAATTTTTTCAAATTTTTTTTCACTTAATGTTACATGGCTTACAGGATTGATTACCATTCACCATGGAAAAATATGTAAGTTAGTGAAATATCTTAATATTTAATGACTTGTGCACCATCTGATTTTCTGAAAAGTAATACAATTAAGACTTTCTTTTCTTCTGTGTTGTTCGCTCTTTTCTTTATGTTTTAAAAGAATAAATTTCTTCTGAATGGTTTTGCACATGTCTATTTTATTCTTCTACAATTCAAGTTTTTAATGGAATGTTAATCATTCCTGTAAGATATATTTTACCTGATCAGTAAAGTCCATTTTTTTCTACATTAGAAATAAAAACTGATTTGTGTTGAATTCAGTTTTTAGAAATGAAATTTCTTTGCATTATACTTGTTTGCATGTATTAATAAAATTCTTATAAGTTTTTTACAGAAACTCTGATTGCTTATTTTAAATTATGAGACAAAATTTTATTAAGCATCTATTTAAAGCTGTTTTTCTTTCTTTTTTTTTTGTTATCAACAAAACAAATTCATACTTTTCAATATTCTTAGCACTTTGTTCAATATCATATTTTCTGGAAGAATATGCAAGATAAAGTTAAGTCAACCGTTGTTAATTTGAGCTTCTGTAAAATATGAAACAGTTGAGAAATATGAACTTGTGTATCATAAAATACCTTTTTATTTTATATCTGAGATAATCTTTGTCATTTTATACTGACAAAATCTTTTGTTCATATTTGCCATACTGAAATACAAGTTTTGCCTTGCTGCTAAAACCTTTTAACAATATTAGCCATAATAACACATAGAAGAGTGAAGAAATATCACATTTCTCAGATTACAAAAACGTTTTAACCTTATTTGCCATAATTATATTTTTAATAAAAAATCAACCTTTGAAAGCTTATTTTTGAAAACCAGTTTATCATAGAACTTTTCTGTCACAGATAAGCCTTATTATTATTCAGCATTATACTGTCTTGGGCAGTGGTGTAAAATTTAAACATGGAAGAGATTAATTTCAAAAAATTTATATTTGTAATATCTGAAAAGTAATATCTTTCTATTAAAAGTAAATCTACTTAGTTGTGTAACATTTAAAATTCATTTATTATGTAAATAATTTTTTTATAATTTTTTGAAATTCCCATATTTTTTCTTGCAATTTAATTTCCTTTTCAACAAATATTTTAAAAGAATACGAATTGACTGCAAAATAAGTTATTAAAATTATTTTTGATTCCAATGAATGAAGTTATAAAAACCTAGTTTTTATTATAACTTTGTTTGAATCGTTTTCAACGTAAGATTTTTATTGTTTTTATCAATTTAATTCATGATCCAAATTAAATATTTTTAAAAATATATTAGCATTTTCCCCACCTTCCATTATTAAGTTCAAGGATTTAAATAGAACTTTTTATTATGTTTAAAAAATTCTTCAAATTACTTATAACATATTAGTTGATTGATTTTCATTTCTTTTATACTTTTTCTTTGCATCAATTTTTGATTTTTTGTTTGCTTGAAAATCCTAATTGGCTTATACTTTCTAATGCTTTCCTTTTCTTTAAAACCATATTTCTTATAATTCCTTTTTTAGCAATTTTTTCAAAAGTTTTTACAATAATATTCTAGCCTGTTTTTAATTAAAATTGGTAAACTTAGTAAATAATAATAATTTAGTATATTCATATCCTATTTTAGTGTTAATGTTACTCATTCGAAACCAAAAGCACAATTATTGACTGATTTCAAAAATTTAAATTTTAACTTTTAGGGAAAAAAAGGTGGCTTCTTTATTTTTGTAAACTAATTAAAATATATTGTTTAAAAAAAATAATTTTTTTTCTAAATTAAGAATAATTGAGATTCTTTTGTTTTTTTGGTCTTAAATTAATTTTACTTTATTTTGCAAAATTCAGATTCATGCATATTTGTAATTTTTTCCTGATAATTCTTAGATAAATATTGAGATATTGCTTATGCATTCAACAATTACTACTTTCAACATAATAATTTCTATAAAATGTTGTAGTATTTGTTTCTGTTTTATAGATTACTCCTGATTTTAATTATGACTCATTATGATTTTGTCCATCATTATAAAATATAAAAAAATATAGTGGGGGCTAAGTTTAATGCTTTTTATCCTTTGCAAAAACACTTGTTTTAATTAAAATATCACATTTTGCTTAAGTTTTTTCTAACTAGATTCATTATTTGAAAAATGGATTTACATTATGTCTTTGTACAAATATTTAAAGACAGTAAAATTGTCCTCAGAACTATAGATAAACATTACTTAGTGTCATTTTACTTTTACAGTAACTAACTATTGTTTAAATTGCGAGGCTATTCAATATTTCTATGTTTATTCTAATATTTTGTAACCTTCAATTCCTAAATATAGTTTTGTTTTTAAAAACTGCTTTTTAATTTCCCACAATTTTTAAAATTTGTGCTTCATTGTAATGTTTTTAAATTCTAAAAATTTAAGTTTTACCTTTAAATAAGTTTTTCATAGACATTCCTTAAGAAAATTTTGTAATTCTAGAAATGCTGACTAATTTGTTCATAAATTTAGATTTTTTTATTTTTGTACAATACCTATTTATTGTCTCAGGTTTTATGCCAATGCCAAATGTGGGAACAACTTATCCTTCTTACCCTCCAGTTCAGCCAGGGTCTACTCCTTACCCTCCAGTGTCATCTGCATTTCCACCTTATTCAGGTAAAAGTATAACTATGCAAAAAAAGTGACTTTATTTGTGCAAACTAATCCTAAATTAGAAATATATAGTTGAATATCGATTTAACAAACTCAATAGGATCTGAAATTTTATTTCTTAAATCGGGATTGCTGTGATTTTGTATCCTAAATTAAAACCGTCTGAGCTTATCTTACGGAACAGTCCTAATATAAAACGACTTAAAAATACCAATTGCTAGAAATTGTACATATTTATTCATCTTTCAAAATATGACATATTTTCAATGTTGTAAATTGGTTTAGTGTGCTTGAATGTCCCACCTTTGTAAAAGCAATTTTTGAAACTTGGTTATGGTTCTAAGCTTAAGGTTGTCTCATAAAATATAGGGTATCCAAAATGTTGGGTTTGTTTCTTTTCTCTGGATTTTTGTTTTAACACTGCTGTAATTTTCTCATAAGCAACATTATTTTTTTCTGTATTTTCATGAAAATATTTTAAGACTTTAAAATGTCTTAAAAATTTTTTTTTAAATTTAATAAAATAATTTTTTCAAATAAAAATCGAATTCATTAAAAAATATACATAAAAAATATTATTAGTGTTTGTAACGATTCTTTAACCTGGTGTTAATAATTCATCAAATAAGGATTTTGTTTTAATTTTAATTGGCAAAAAATAAATTTGCTAAAATCAAAATCAGGTAAATAAAGTTTGATTAATTCAGGGTCTGGCTGTATATGTTTTAAAACTAATAAAATATTTGTGCGTTCTTGCTTTTTTATATACGTTTCATTTCTAATCATAGTAATATATATTTTTTTATAAAACTACAAGTTTAATATTCAAATAAAGTTTTAAGAAATTTATAGTTGCATTTAACAATAATGCATGTTCATTTTTTTAAAAATTGAATTTCTTCTTCTCATTTGAAAAATATTTTAGTGTTTGTTTTTAATTTCAAAAACATGTTAAAAAATATCAAGTAATGACTTTATTTATTTTCTGAGAGTAAATTAAATGTTATAAAAAAAACATAGATTTGTTTGTCTTTGATTAGTAAAAAAGATTGTGAAATATTATGAAATTGATATTTTTAAAGGTTTTCATTTTGATAATTCGTAAAACTTTCGAGGTTAATAAAAAGGGATAAAAACATCCAATTAAGGCAAAGATGTTTTTCATTTTTTAGGAATATCAATGACGAAAACTCTTAAAAAATCATACCACTTTTAACTAAGTAAAATTTGAATTATTTGTGAATATCTATGTGCTTATAGCATATGTTCGAACTATAAAGTATTCTAAGTAAAAACAAAATTCAAGCTATAAAATTTTTAAAAAAATATAATCTTCAGCTGTATTTTTATTGGCAAAAATTAATGTTTTTAAATTGATGTTCGAAAAGAAAGCCCTTTGAGATTTGTACAGATTTAACACAATACCATTTTGAAAACTTGGATCACTATACTGGAAATTTTGATTTGTAAATATGAAGCTTTTGTGCATATGAAAAGTATTTATTATCCTCAGGGGAAATCAGCGCAAACCTCAGATCAAAGTCTTGGGGTCTAAATTTGTCATACAATGTGCATAAAATCTATTTTGTCTGCAATTTATTGTAAAACAAAACAAAAAAAAGAAAAAACTAGAATTAGATGTTAGTGACATAAGGAAATTCTCTACATTTAAACTACCCTGTAGATTTCATTTGTGATTACTGATATTTATGTATCTACCTTAACAATTTTAAATTTTTCATACAAGCTGGTTATTATTTCAAATCCAATGTATATGTTATTTTAACTTGAAGTTATCCATTCCATTTGCGTTAAAAATCATTTTATGTTTGTAGGTGGTTACCCTGCAGCATCAGGCTACAGTGCCTATGGTGGAATGAATTCTGCCTCTGGTGGCCTTCCTCCAACCAATAGTTATCCTCCAACTACTGCCACCCCTTATCCTCCAACAACTGCATCGAACATGACTACACAACAAAGTGGCACTGGCACAATTACCCAAGAACATATACATGCCTCATTATATTCTGCCGTAGAAGACAAAGTTAAAAAGCATCTTCGAGAAGTTCTTGCTCAATCACAGGTAAAATACTTTCTGATTACTGTACAATTTCTTATGCAATGCTGTATACTTATTTTCTTTTTATTGTTATTATTTAGGCTGAGATGGATGTTTTGAAAAAAACAGAGGAGGATTTAAACAAAGGAAAAGCTAAACTAGAAGATATTATTAACCGTTTACAAATGGAACAGGTAATGAACTATGCTTAATCATTGTGTGCATTTGACATGATCTGCAGTTTAAACTAGCTTTTTATTAACCATGAGTAGGGCTACAAGTTTGTCGCGGGAAAAAATACCCGAAATTCGCGGGAAATTTTGAAAATTACACCAATTTTAAACATAACAAAATGTACTATATAAATGATGCAAGAGACAGAAATTGCGCAAATAGTAAAAAAAAAAAAGCTTTAAAAATACACAAAAGTATTTCTTTTAATTTCAAGCAATATTAATATATTTATTTAAATGAACAGAATTTTGGTACAAAGTATTGTACATTGTCAGGATATTCTAATTTATGCTTCGCCTTTCATCACTTAATACATTTTTATACTTTCTATACGATCTGCGTCCACACTGTTTGTAGGCACCGACAAACATGGAATTGCCAATTTCGGATAGCCTTCAGTTGCTGATTTCGAAAACTCGATCAATTTTTCTTCTTCGACACGTCTTTCCACGCCAGAATTTTTACCTTTGATTTGTAAGGCGTAATTGCTGTGAAAACTCAAACATTCTGCATTCAAAGTACTAGTTACAAAAGCCTTATCTCCCTCTCATCAAAGAAACTGATCCCTATTTAAGAAATCGCAAGAAGCCGCCCAGGAAAAATTGTCTGGAGAGGCAGTAGAAATTTCATTGCTGAGTGCAATAGTCTGTGTAAGAATTTTTATGTCAAAGATTTGATTTATAACATTTTCCTTCTTTTGTGATTCCAGTTTCTTTTGCACTCCTACTGACTTCAGGAAGGTAATCCTATCAGTCTATTACCCTCCCTAAGTGTGGAGAGACCACCTTACTTGACAAGATTGTGATTATCTCGTATCTCTGAACTATTTTCTTGTCATTTTGCTATTGATTCACTCCCCTAAATATCTAATCAATTTTATATGTTAAATTTAAGGCTTCAGGAAAGTAAACAATTCTATTAAATGAAAATAATAAATTGAAAATGAAAGAAAAATTCAAATTTTAAGCAATTTTTGCGCAAATCAATGCATTTTGAGAAATTTGCGGATTTTAGAAAAAAAGGGACATTTTCGCGGAAATTCGCGCCACGACAGACCTGCAGCCCTAACCATGAGCAATTAAACTGATAATTTAATCAGTTAAAAAACTATCTGCAATGCCTTCAAACTCATTTCTCAAAGTCCTTGGATGTTTCTATTATTGCATTGAGTTAGTTAGAAAATTTAAGTTCTTTTTATGTAGTATCAAATTTTGTATGCAACTATTAGTTATTTGCCTAATATTTGTGGTGAAAATGTTTTTCTATTATTGCTAAAGCAAGTGTTATAGGAACACTACACGTAAAGTAGTTTGAAATATTTTGGCATTTGCTACAAAACTAAACTGTTTCCAGAGTTGCATTAAAGTGAAATTAAGTTACAAACAAAACATATTGTGCCGTATTTTTAGTTTCTTTTGAACCAGGGTAAAAATACTAGTTGCAAAAAAAGCATAAAACCATCAGTTTTAGTTGACAAGTTGTCCTTTACACCAAGAAATTCATTTATCCATTCAAAGTTGTTTGATCAATATAGAAAAGTTCTATATTAACATTATCTATTTAAAACTATGTTTACCAAGGCAACTACAAGCCTTTTTGAGACTTGTAGTTGTTTCTTTACAATGAACTATTGTTGTAAAGGTCCAGGATCTTATCGACATGCTGCATTGCCTCGAAATTAAAGGTTGTCAGTGAGAAATATTCACATCGTCACTACCATTCAATTGGTCTTGAATATGTGGAGCCTTACTTCCATGACCCCTTTGGACAGCAATTAGCTATTTCTGGAATGCTTTTCTTTTTAAAATTAACATTTGTTAACATTGCTAGAAATTAAGATTCCCTACTAGCTCTTATTTAATTTATTGAATCACATAAAATAGACCACAATAACAGCTACAAAGAAATACTCAAATATAAATAATAATAATTAAAATGAAACTAAACATCTACTGTTCTTAGAGACATTGATACAACCTAATAGTTCAGCAGCTCAAAATAGACTAACTATATTGTCTCTAGATAGTGTTCTGCTACTAGTTTAGTTTACAGGGATTGCCATGGTAATTTGTACAAAAATATATTTGTTGTTATTTTTGTACACACACACATTCAATTTCTGCACTTCCCATTGTAATAGCTACAATAATTTCCCTTGAAATTTCTATATTAACATTTTTCATATTAAATGATGTTGTAAAAATTATGCTACCTTTTATACATTCTATATCTACAACTGTAAAATTATCTTCCTTCCTTGCAATGTATCTTGATTATGCCTTGTTTTGTTAAAAATTTATACTCTAAATGAGAGGAAAAAAACACTATTTTTTGAGCAGACAATGCCATAACTGGCACTTGTTCATAATCTTTTTAATTATTAACTTCTTGACGAAACAATTCATATCAAGACAGCTAATAAATTATTCCACAACTGTGATGCCACAATGGGCATTACCTATTTCCTAACGATTAAACTATTTTTAGTTATTTAAACTTACTTTTTTTAGTCATTCTCAATCAAATTATATTTAAATTAAATCAATGAGTTAATCTTCATAAAAGTGAACATAAAATATTTTATTCTTTTCTTATTGATCAATGTAATGGTTAACTTTTTATTTCAATACTAATGTAGACTCATTAATTCACTGCCACGCCTAATCAAAAACAAAAATCTATTTATAACTCTTTATTATTAATTTCTAATACAAATATGTTTCAGCTAAATGGTTATAATAATTCTCACAGTCTTGTTGGCGACTCCCGAAGTATTTTCAAACCTAATATTGATTATGGAGGGTTGACTTTATTTTGGCTAAGTTATATTTCAATAATTCGCCAATCTTGAATCTTTTCTCCATGCTCTTGTGTCTGTTAGGAACAAATTCATTCACTTTCAATTTCAAATTTGTGGTGACTGGGGATGCTTTGTGCCTCCCAGTTTCATTAAACTTCTCGATGTAGGGAATGTTATTTTGATCCCTTTGAGGGATTTCTTTTTTTTTTATGATTTGTATATTTTAAATATGGCCATTTTGAATATATTAATTCTTACTTAATAAATCAAATTTTTACTTAGACGATTTTATTCATTTTCCTCGAGGCAATACTTCAACCACCACTATAATATTAATAATGGCGATCACACACACACCGCCTTCATAACAATAATAGTCTGTAAGTTTTGTAAAATTTGAAAGCTTTCTTTTACCACGCTTTTTTTTCTCCAGAAAATCTGAATTCAAAGTTTTCTTATTGTATTTCAGGACTAAATTAAGTAATCGGTTTAATAAGTGAAAAAAAATTTTTTTAGGGTCAATTAGAAAAGAATATTCATGTTTTGCGATCCAAAGAATCAGAAATGGATGAGTTATTAGCTAAAGTAGAAAAACAAGATCAAGTTGATATTGATGAAGCTGTTGTAGCACCAGCTCCTCTTTATAAGCAGTATGTATAAAAATTGAGATTTTAATTTTACAATTCATTTTAATCGTTGATGTTAAATTTATGATAGATTTGAAAATCTAGTTTAATTTAAACTGCTTTTACTGAGTGTTTTATCTAACACAATAAGCTTTCTTTTTTTTATTAAATTTTTTTCATGACTTTTATATAGTATTAATTCATTGCATATCAGCAATTCAGTTTTATAATGTGTTCATTTTATAATTTACTTATATGCTTAAAATTAAAAGTCTATTTAATTATTAGGGTTTATATTAGTGTAATGTTTTGTATTACAGGAGCGGTTGTTTTTCTTTAACTAACAAAAAATATTTCATGGTGTCATGACACTCCTGTTCTACCCATGCAATAACACGATTTTCAAAGTACTATTTCTTTTTTGCTCTACCAGTATCAAGTAGTGATTTATATGCAAGCAAATAAATTATTGTACAGACAGTCATTTAATTTTATTTGCACTATAGAAAAAGAAAAAAAAGATACTGGATCAATCAATACCAAACCTAGTTAAGGGGTCACAGTACCTTTTTAACAATTTTTTAAAATAAAGGTATAATCATTCATTTTGAGGATGCGTTACATGCTCATTTAAGTTATAATCAATAATTTATCTTCAAAAAGTTATTAAACTGTTTAATTTTTTTTAAATTTTAAAAAAAGTTGAAAAAATTCTAAATTTTTAAATCCCTAAGGCTTTTTTATTTTAACATATTTTCAAAAAAAGTTTTTTTCATAGTGCTTGCAATATTTATCTTAATAATTTTGTGCATTCATTTGTTGATATATCAATTAGAATATTTTTTATAGATTATTTTGTAAAAAAGTAGAAAAAAAAGGGTAAAAATTCCTGTTAGGTATATATAACATGCCGTAAAAATTGTAATACCTCATAAAATGCTTATTCCATGCACAGTTTAAATAAGTGTATTATACTCAAGATAAAAAAGTTTACTTCAAAGCTTTATCTTAAATAGAAAAAATTCCTTAGGGATTTAATTAAGATTAAGACACAAAATTATCATCTATGCGAAAAAGCACTTTAAAGTCAGACTGCTGAGCAAGTTTCTGTATTAGAACAATTTAAAATCATTCATAACTTTTTTAAAAATGTAGATAGAGAGATGAATTTTTTTCTGCACATTTGAAATACTTTGAAGTTTTATTATAAGCAATAAAAAAAAATTTGGTATTTTTGTCATTTTTTGGGTACTGTGACCCCTTAAATGTTATTTTACAATTGAAATTAAAGCTGAAAGCAGAGCTAACGAGTATAAAATGCATTTATTGAGACACTTTTATCGCTTTCCCTTAGAACTAAATTAAAAGTGAAAGAATCTGTGAAAGCATGAATTATTTCTAAAAAAGTCTTTTGAGTAAGAGTTTTGTCTTTGCAAGTAGACCTCAGAAATTTTGTACTATTTATATAAAGTTATTTTCAGAAAAGTATCAGAAGAGTTTGTGCTATTGATTGCTTTATTTATTTTTTGTTAGTTTCATTTTAGAATTGTTTGATTTTGTAAAAAAAAAAAAGTCATTGCAATCCCACCTCAGAAATCAGTAGGTCTATTTATCTCCTAAATTTTTAGAAAAGTTTTAGCAGACTTGTTTTATTATTGATTGTTCTTTATTTAATTCTTATTAATTTAATTTTCAATTGCTGACGTTGTTAAAAAGGTTTATTTTATTGATTTATTCATATCATCCTATGAATTAAGGTCTTTTCGCTCCATTTTTTTCTTGATTCCTTATGCATTATTTTTCTTTACTGTTTTTTATTCTCGATGATTTGATGGCTGGATTATAACCTTTTATAATTGTTATTAGACAAAAATTAGAGTAATAAAGTTTCATATTTTTTTATTAACCTCTTTTGTGATTTTATTCTTAAAACATTAATTTTTAATTGATTAAATACAAACTAACAATGTTTAAAATAAATGTTTTATACTTGTGATTTTCACTTATTTGTATTTGTAATCAATGGTATTGTTTAAAATATTTTCTTTCAATTGATTAATATTGCCTTTGGTGCTCTCACCATCTTATTTTTTTTGCCAGTGATGTTTTATATTTCTAATTGTTTTTTTTTTCTTAAAAAATAAATATATAAAGTAATTGAAAAGAGTAAACTCTTATAATAATTTTAACTCCTTTTTCTATCCTGATAACATAGCAAATGCCTGATGAGAATTGCCCCATTTGCTAATGCCACCCAAAAAATGGCTAAATTAAAAAATAACACTTAAATAAATATTGGTAAAAAATTTTTTAAAGTTATTCATTTGTGTCAAATATTTTACAGCTACCATGTTACTATGACACATTATGCATTAACTTTTTTTTGGTTTCGTGTATTTTACTTTTAATTGCATTGGTTAATTATGATTAATTTTATATTTTGTTAGTCTTTTTTTGTAATTTGGTTTAAAAACTTATTTCATGAATTAAATAGTATTATCTGGTGTGTATTTGTATATTTAATACTATTTCATAGTTCTTAAAATGCTGTTTAAAATATCGATTTTATTTATAAAATTGATATAATTGTTAATTTAATTATAAACAAAATAAAGTATGGCAGTTCTAAAAACTAATTTCTAAAATTATAATTTGTATTTTATTTATTTATTTTTTTGCATTAAGTTCTATTGCTAATTAACACTTTTTCAAATGCCATTCATAATACTAGAAATTTGAATGAATGCATACGGAAAAAAAAAAGTCAGATTAAAAAAAAATGTAAAACATTAGTTGTGTTGCTATTTTGGAAACTTACCTCTGATAATATTTTAATCAAGAAACATGTTTAACACACCCAATTTGTATATATATCATATAAAATATGAAACTTTAGACTAGACGTATAAAAACAGGACGTCAAGAATAGTACTTTATTCATGATTTTCCTACAAAGTATATCAACTTAAAAATTTATGTGTAGTTTTTTTTTAGGGGAATACAGTAATTCAGCATTTCTTTGTGCTTTTCTCCTCCCTTGTAATGAATTTTGTACATTTATATTTTTTCTGAAATTGCGATTTTAATGTAGTATTTTCCTTTAGACTCTTAAATGCATTTGCTGAAGAAAATGCTACTGAAGATGCTGTTTATTATTTGGGAGAAGCTTTAAGAAAAGGAGTAATCAACCTTGATCTTTACTTAAAGGTAAGTATTGAGCTTACATTCATTTTAAATGACTTATATAAATTTATATCTGCTGCCTTTTTCCACTTTCCTAGAAAAACTGCTAGTTAGTTTTTTGTTATAATGAAGTCCTACCTGGACCGCTGTCAGTGTTCAGAAAAGAACATGGACCTTGTTTAGTTCTTATCTCTATGTAAAGCTCTTTATTGTGGATATTTTATATTTCTTTTTTAATTAACTGAAAGGAATTGAGTTTCAGTTGAGCAAACATCTTTCCTTCTAAGGTGATGATGGAACAGAATTTACTTTTTTTTATTTTATCTAGCTATTAAATGGGACAATATTTTGGTTTAATACAGGAGAAAGTTAAATGCTTCTGTTTTTTTTAGTCTGAACTGGCGCAATCAGTAAAATTAGATATTGATAGATTTCCTTTTAGTACTATTTCTCTTTGTTCATTTTCTAAATCCCTGTAACCATGGTACTAATCAGTGGCCGACCGCAGGACTTTTGATTTTACGAGCACATATATTACTTGTGCTCGGTGGGCCTTTCTTCTACAGAGTCGAAGATTGAACCTCGGCCCTTCCGGACTGGAGTACAATTCTCTCCCCACTGAGCTACCACAGCCTTTAAAGATAGTATTATTGCAGTAAGAATACTTGAAGGAAAACTAAACAGTTTTGCCTTTTTGGAATAAAAGGTTTTAAAAAAATATTGCAGCACATTTTTATTATATTAATGAGGCTATTAATTTGTTTAATTCTTTCAAATTAGTTATGTTAAAGAATTGGTTTAGATTAAATGTATCTATTTCACTTTTGCAGCATGTGCGATCACTTTCCTGGAAACAGTTTATGCTTAAAGCGCTGATGCAGAAGTGTCGTGAGAAAGCAAACCTCCCACATTGATGGTAGAAGTTCCCAAGCCTACAATATGTTCTCCAGAGAAAAAATGTATACTGAACTATAAAATGAATATAAAAAATCTCTGGATTTTACGTTTGAAGGATTTAAGGCATTCACAAGATTAAATTTATTCCGTTTTATTAGAATCTTGTATAATATGTGCATTGTTTGACTGTAATAAATATTTTAATTTAAATAAACCTGTTATAATATATATTATAGTTTGGGTCTTTTAATGCTGCTTTCATCACATGTTTTTTATTCCTGGTTTAAACTAGTTTCTCATTCCCGGTTTAAACTTACAGATTTAGGCAAAAAAATTGCTCTTTTATTTTTATAAAATATGTTAGTAATTAATGAATAACTAATAATTTAGGAAAATGTTTGCATAAAAGGTATCATGCTTTGAAAAAAGCTTAGAATTAAGCTTTCAGTTAAAATTACTTTGGTAAAAGTTTCTAGGTTTTAAATTTGTAGAAACTTTTTTGTATTATTACGATGTTAAACAAAATCCCGACTTTTGTTTTTCTTTTTGTAAAATTTTCACATAAGAATTGGAAGAACAAATTGAAATAAAAATATTCTGAAATTTCAGCTTTCAGTAAAAAATTAAATATATTTGATTATTTCTTTTGTTACAGTTTCTGACAACTTGATGAGTACTTTTAAAAGAACAGTTAAATGAGCTAAATGTTTACTTTCTTAAATGCATGCTAAAACTGAAGGGTTTTATTCATTAATATATATATTAACCTGATCCACATTCTTAGTCAACATGAAATATTATCTTAATTTAAAGTTGTAAATGATGTTAAATCAGGAATTTTATTACTTTATTTATTAATTTTTATTTTTAGAATCTAACTTTTTGAACTTAAATTTTTTTTTTAAAACTAAACTTTATACCATAGAAAAATGGAAAAACAAATACAAAAGGTAACTGCAAAAGCATTCCATGAAATTTCAATTCTTAAGTTATCAGCCATAGGATAATTTTTGCTCGTTGCTTGCCATTTGCATGAAAAACTTGAACAATTTTTTAAATAATTCTATTTATCTCCCAGATTTTTAGAAATGTACTTTTTTACTTTAGATTGTTTTTTTATTTAATTTTTGTTAATTTAATGTTACAATTGCCAACATTGTTAAAAAGATTTATTTTATTGATTTATTAGTATCATCCTATGAATTAAGGTCTTTTTTTTTTTCTCTATTTCATACGTATTATTTTTATTTACTTTTTTTTTCATTTAATAGCTCTATTATAACCTGCTATAATTATTATTAGACAAAAATAAGAATAATAAAGCATCATTTTTGTTTTTGAACCTTTTTTTGTGATTTTATTTTTAAAACACGACTTTTTAATTGACTAAATGGTTAGGTTTCCATAAGGTTTGTCGGTGTTGCATTCCGATTTACAGAGGAGACCGTCAACTCTGGGGAAAAAATGACAATTTGATTAGTAATAACTTTTTATAATATGATATTTATTTGCCAGTCTTAAATATTTGGTCATTGTTGGTGAGTGGAAATTTCGCACCCAGGCTGTAAGCTTGGATTTTTAAGAAGAGAAAAAGGAAGCAGCAAATAAAGTAAACAGAAAAAATTTAATTTTTTTGTTACATTTTTATTTATAAGATAAAAAATGAAGTAAATTGAATCAGTAGTTCTGGTGATAAAACATTTTAAAACAAAATATTTGTAATACCTTTTTGTTAACTTTTGTTTGGAATATTTAGAATTATTTAACTGCCTATATTGTCATGTTGATAATCATTGTTTATACAATTTTCTCTTTACTGACAAAACAGTAACCTTCTAATGATGAACATTTATATCTTTGCAGTTGTTGTCCCATATTTTTACCACGTTAGATCACACCTTAAAGTTTGTATGCGCAGCATGCTAGCTGGAGAGATCGTCAAATAGAAAAAAGTTATTACCTTGAATAACTTTTATTCTCATTTTTGCAATTTCATGAACTGAGTGCTAATCTTAATGGTTCAAAAATATTAATTAATTAGTGCTGCTAATTGTTAATTATGTTAAGAAAATGTACTTTCTCTGAATAAACAAGCAGTATTAGTTATTATTTTATTGTTGATCAAACTTCTGATCACTATCCAATTTGTGAAAGTGTTCAAATTGCAATTTCCCTTCTGTGTCTTATATCACAACACAAGTTTCAGTAGTTTTGTGATTGTTACAAGCAGAATTTATAGTCATTTTGTAGCTAAATAGAATCTCGCATCATTTTACTACCAAGAACTTATCTAAATTTCCACAATTTTCAATTGGCTATTCAACTAATTTTGTTCCAGTTTTGGATATTATTCTTTTATGTATGTAGGAAATGGTGATTCTAATCAAATGCTTCAATCCTAATTAAATTGAACATTAAAAATTTTATAATAATTAAGTATTGGCATAAAAATAAATGACATAACAAGGGACCTAAATTTTTTCAAATTGATCCTAGTTCTCATGTTTTTAGGATCAGGAATTTAAATGTAATAAAAGATTGACAGAAAGAACATTTTCGTGTCTTATTTCATAACTCGATAGAACATGCTATTTAAGGTGTTTCTCTACCTCAGTGGTGCCTATGGAAGCTTTTTAAACTGTGAACAGGGTGCATAGCATTTTTAAAAAGTGCTTATTTTTTATTTTTGTTTTTAAAAAACCCTTAAAGGTACTTTTTTTATTCGGGGTTTATAAAAAGTGCTTAATTTTCTATCTTTTATAAAGATATTTTTTTCTTTGCCATATCAATTATCATTCTTAATTACAGAAAATACATGATTTTCACAATTTTCTTTGCAATATTTATCAGAAATTTTGAATTTTATGTTTATAAATTACGAACTTTAAACTATAGAAAAAAAAAATTTTTTTACTACTGCACAGATCCTAATTATGATTTTTTTGGAAAGTGATTAATAATATTTTTTGAGTGCCTACAAAGTACTTAAAAGGCGTTCATTTTTGCTGAAAAATCTGGCTATGCACCCTGTGTGAAGCATAAGCAAGAAAACAATCTGCTAAAGTTTTGAATGTCCTCTTGAACTGAGGGAAAGTTAACATTAAATTTTATGCTGCTTTTTGCATATTCTAGAATATTGACAATATAATCAGTTTGATTATTTCTTCAACTTTAAATAACTTTTTTTTAAAACTAGTATTGAATAGCCAACTCAATTCTGAGTTTATAGCTATCAATTTTAAACCTAACCTAGATGACAAGGGAACTCTTGGATCAAGCATTACAGCAAAATAGATTTTGTGGAGTACTTTTTGATGATAATAACCCACATTTGCGTTACATGGAAAAGAAAAACCACAAAATTCTCCCAGGGTTATACTGACTACAAGAGAACTCTCCCACGATCTGTCTACCTATGAGGATATTTGACATCAACAATGTGTTCATTTCAATCTGAGAGCAGAATTTGAATCAGCCAGCAACCGTTTCCATTCGAACCTCAATCACCTCATTGGGAGGCAAATGCTTCTATACCATGAGTCACAGAGGGCTCTTAAATAACTTTTGACAAATGATTGGTTTTGCACTAACATGCACTTCAAATGAATCAATAAATAGATGCATTGAGAATTTTTTCATAAGGACAGTTAGCCCACTATACTATAGTATCATTGTTAGTAGGAGATATCTTAAAAATTTTCAAACCCTTGAAATAACTGAACTTGTATTCTGCACTCTTATCTCCTAAAAGCTTCACGGATAATCACTTATTAGTTTTTCCTTTTGATAGCAGTTATACTTTGTGTAATGCTACAAATAATTCCTTCCTAGATCTATTTAAAATCTCTTTATTCGATGCCACTTTAAAGGCAGTTATATATTTTTAAATGTAAATTTTTTATTATACTCTCAAAGAATAATGAAATGCGGCTTATTTTTAGCATTTCCAAAATTGAATTAACTTACAATATTGGAAAAGAATTGATTTAGGTTTTACTTCTTCGTTAGGGTCAACGTAATTAGTATTTTTCATGTCCTTTTTATTTCTCTGCGGGCAGAGTTTTTGTATTTAGTTACAGTTGTATACTGTCAATTTTTCTGTTAGCATGTTACAGATTTGTGCTTTATGGCTTTGTTTTTCCAAAGTATCAGACAGAAAAAGGTGTGGCTCCTTTTTATTAAAATTACTTTTTTCGTGTTCCTTTAGCCATTCATAGAGTGGACTGATCGTTCAGACACGGTTCCCAGCAGATCACCGATGTCAAGCATCACTGTCTGCGGTCAGTGAGCGGGTAGGTGACCACTTGGATCAGACTGCGTAGGGACCGAGGGTGTGCGGTATTGGTCCTCGTTAAACTGTTCTACCGTAAAGTGCTCGACTTCGCATGCAGGTCGTCGGGCTATCGAAGCGGGGGTGCCATCCCCTCTGCAGAGGATCAAAATTGTGATGGCATGTCTTCGGATCATCCTCAGGGATGTTTCCCAGACCGTCGCCAAAAGCCCATTGTGCAGCTCTAGTGCGTCGTAAATGAACAACAACATTAGCCATTCATAGGCTTTAGTTTCTAATCTTTTCTGAAATTTTTTAATTGGACCTCCTTTTTCTCTTCAGCTCTTTCTCATTTTTTGCACCACTTGATCCAAGATTGGTAACCCGATACCTTAATTGTAAACATTCTTTTTTACTAAAGATTTTTGTACAATTCTTCGGTAGCACTACAACTCTGGCTGGGCCCTGACCTGCTCAATAATTTTTTCACTTTCTTCTCTATTTTTGGCCATGATCTTCCAATATTAATCACTCTTAAAATGGCGAGATCCCTTTCTAGACAGTTAACCCATCTGAGGTTGGATCTGACCAAGAATATTTTTTGTGTTGGACGTTCTTTGTTCATTCTAGTAACATGACCAGCCCATTTAATTTTTGGAATTTTATGTATTTGATGACGTTAGGTTATTTGAATGTATTATAAAGTTTTAAATTTGGGTTTCTGTGCCACAAGCCATCAACTTATATTCCTCCAAAAATAGTCCTTACTATCTACAGACTCCCAGAGCATTTTCATCTTTTTATGTCATAGTCCATAGTATCTGATAAGTATAAATCTGATTGAACATTTATAAATTAATAACTTAGTCTTTTTAAATAAGTTTGATTTTAGATACTTCTTTAATCCGTAAAAGCATCTGTTAGTAGCACTGATTTGCCTCTGAATTTCAGTTGTGATGTTGTTGTCAATGTTAACCTCAAAGCTCAGTTATGTAAAGCTATCAACTTACGCAAATTTAAATTAACCAATTTGCCGATGAGTAGAGTCCGTTACCTTAGAGCCCTGCATATATTTAGTTTTTTCTGGTTGACTGTAAGATTCGTTTTACCTGCCTCCTTTTCCAGGACTAGTAAAACCTATTTCACATCAGGTGTATTTGCGATGATATCAATTTCATCTGCAAATGCAGCTATATTTCCTCTGATGTTTTTTTCTTTTGGAGTCACGAATGATCTTTTCTAATGCTATGTTTAAAATTAAGCATACCAGTGCATCACCCTGTCTATGCATTTCTAATTTCAATTGGTTCTGAATTTAATTTCGTTGCATGGTCTTATCTAGTGTAAGGGTAGTGAGTCTTAGAAGACTATCAGGGATATTAAATTCAAAGAAGCATTTTTGGACTCAAGTAATACAGTAGTAGTTAAAATTGAAAAGGGATTGGTTTGATGCAGACTGACATTATGTGACCCAAAGAAAAAATGATGCTAACAAAAACATGTTCAATAAAAAATATCCTAGATCATCAGTGGAAGAATATAGAGTTGCTGGAAGAGAGGAAAAAAAGTCCCCTGAATAGAAAAAAGATATTTCACAAAGACCTTTTCAGAGATGTCGAACATCTTAGAGGGTCAAATGAGTGCAGATCTTTCTTTCGTGGTATAAACCTTGGCTGACAGGATTTCATACCTAGAACTAAGATTGGTGTTATTTTGAGAGATAAGACTAAAATTCTCCAAAAATGGAATGATCACTTTACTTAATGCAGTGCGCTTACAAATTGCGGAGATCAGTTCGCCTAATGCTTTGTGTGCAAAAAAATAAATAATACTGTAATGTGTGCCTAAAGAAAAGAATGATTAAAAACTTGATGTTGGATAGCTAAGAAAGAGTTGAGATACTAATTTGTCGATCTCGCATAAATTTACCACTGAGCCTATAGAGTTACTGCGTAACAATTAGCATTGTACAAATCATTTAAACAAACACATTACCCTTAATTTTATCAAATTTCTTTATAATTTGTTCCTTTATTTATTTTTTGTATTTAGTTGAAATTGATTATTATTCTATTTACAATACAACTTGTTATTAATGACACGTTTATTTACATTATTCATATTACATAATCCTGAACAATCCACATTAATAATATTTCTTTAACAGTAACCATAATCTAAATTTAACTAATCCTTGACAATAGCTGCCTCTGTAAAAGGGTTTTCAATGCTGAACAGGAAGAAAATTTTTAAAAGTTGTTGAAAGAAAAGTTATTAGAAATATTAACTTGAATATCAGAGCAAGGAACTGAATTTAAAGAGCAAAATAAAATCATTAAGGTTTAAATTCGATGATGCTGTAAAATAATGATAAAGTAAAAAAAAAAAGAAAAAAGATGCAATTCAAGTTTTAATAAAAATATTTTATTTAAATTCTTGAGTGTATCAATACGAAATATGCGAAATGTAAAAAAAAATCAAAATAGTATATATCTTTTTACAATTTTTTATATCATCCATAAAAGTTTTCATTATTATTATTAAATTCATCTTAGAAATCTATAATGCTATGCATATTTTTACCATACTCCTATTTCACTCTACCATAAAAAGTCAAACAGTATTTTCACTCCTTGAAAAAAATCTCAGCTACTTTGCCTTCAATTAACATCCTATTTATTACTACAAGTATATTTGTAAATCCCAACTATTAGCTTTCATAACCTTGCAAACAAAATTTGGAATACGGCTCAGAAAATAACAAAGGTTTTGAGGAAAACTTGCATTCAAGAAAGACTTTTAAAATGAATTCTGCTTATTTCACCCTTAAATGAAAATTTAGCACCACAATATTAATTATAGTTTGTCTAAGGTAAGAAGTCCCCCCGCCGCAAAGTCTGGGGACGTCTGCTACTATGGAAACAAAAATAGCCCATTTCAGGGAGGGTACCTTCTCTTCACTTTGGGGCTGAGACATTAGACTGAAGGAAAAGATTCCCCTTCTCTGGTCAAAACAATCACCCCATACCCCTACTTGAAATAGTTATACATCGTTACCATGGTTATCTACATGGGTCCAGACGAATGGCTAGGGGAGTTCTTACTTTAGACAAACTATACTTGGCAGCAGAATTGATTCAACAATGTAAATATTTGGTCTCAGTAGATTTACACTCAGAAAATAGTATTTATAAATTCATAAGCTATCACCAGGATTCAATAAATAAAAACCTAGTGCTTGGTGATAAAAAAAAAATTTATTAATCTTTTAGCAGATATTCAACAAAATGAAAGATTATTTTTCTTTATTTTTATGAGTGAAATTTAGAATAATAATTTTATCACTCTAAATTTCACTCATAAAAATAATCTTTCATTTGCTGAATATCTGATAAAAGATTAATAATTTTTTTACCTCTTACTTGAGCTTAACTTTGCTGAATTTAAATCAATATTTTTTCCCCGAAATAATAAGGGAGGTATATACTTACAGCCGACCTGCAATAACAAACAATATTAATTAAATCAATCTGACTTCGTACACACAAAGTAGCATTTTGGTGAATATTTTATTACATGTAATGCATAAAAATGCTTCTCTTTTATGTATAAAAAAAATATTAACTAAAGCAATTTTATATGCAATTACTATTATTATAATTTTTCAATTATAATTTAAGCATTAAACCAATTGCATATTCAATTATAATTTAACATTATAATTCATATTAATATAATTTAATGCAATTATAATTTAACTACCAAGCCTAAATATTTTATTACATACATAAAAAATGTTTGACTACTCCCTCATATGAATAAAAATAAAATTTTGATGGATATGCTTCACATTAATGCTGGAACGCATGCACCTACTATTGGAAATACAAGTTTTCATTTTAATGTGAAATTTTAGAGTAATACAAGTTGAACCTTTAAATTTTACATCCCAAATGATGCATGAATAAGCTTTCTCTTTAGTAAAAACATATTTATGTTAAATAACATTTATTACACAAATTTTACAAATAAGGCTTCTCTTTAATAAACACAGTGATGTTCGTTTAAATACTTTCCTTGGAGTGACATATAAATACAATAAAAGCCAGACTTTGCAGAAGTCAACCAACTGTAACCCGAGTAACTGGAATTTTCAGAAATACAGTACAGAATCCGTTATCCGGAAATCAGAAAAACCAAAAAACCGGAACGAAATTCGATAAATTTCCCCGCTATTTAAAAAAAATTTTTTTTTTTTCCTCACAAGATTTTAGGATTTCTCTTTCTTTTTTGAAAGATGTTTACCTTACCATCATTTTGGAAATAATCATTAGTGTATTACTTCATCGTTTTTTCTTCTTTTTAAGATTATTTCCAAAAAAAAATGTTGTTTTTTTTTTTTAGTTAGGTTTAAGAATAAAAAAACGGCTTTTTGTAGCGATTCAGAAAACCGGAAAAATCAGTTATCCGGAACAGCGATGGTCCTGATCGTTCCAGATAATCGGTTCCCTACTGTATATAATCTCGCCTAAAAATGAATTGTAACGTTTGAAAATAGATAGCAAAATACCAATCAATTCTCAATAAACATTCCCTCACCATTTATTTTCACTCAATTATAAAAAGCGGTTAGAAAAAACACTACCTCTCAGTTTTTTTTAAAAAATCTGTAACGTTTGAAAATAGATAGCAAAATACCAATCAATTCTCAATAAACATTCCCATACCATTTATTTTCACTCAATTATAAAAAGCGGTTAGAAAAAACACTACCTCTCAGTTTTTTTTAAAAATCTCAAGTAATTTTTATGGGCTATTATAATTTTTCTATTTCCTCTTCATTTTTTTTTATAAGCAGCAACTTCTTTGAAAGATTTATTAGGAACATGTGCTGCGAAATTTCCTTTTATGGATATCTTGATATATTATTCCCAGGATCGAAAATAATAATCATTAGCATTATGACAATTATTGTTGAATTCCATGCCAACTGAAATCAGTAGTAGAATTCCAAGCATAACAGAGGGGAAATCACACATTTTTTCATAAAAAATGTATTAAATATATGCGAAAACAAACAACTGTGCAATAATATGCTACTTTAAGGTGCAATGTTTAATTATATGGCATGATATTTCCCTGTAACTATTTGTCAAATTTGTAAAATGTCCCCTCTGTTACATGGCATTTTTTTGAAGTTAATAAAAATGTGTAAGTAATTTAAAAACTCTTATAATAATTTATTTTACCTTGCAATGTGATATTAAAAAAAAAAAAATTACAAATAATGTTTAGGATGTTAAGAATCACAGAATATAGCAGAAATAACAGTGCATGTCAAAAATATGGGATTTTCTTTGTCTCCTCTGTTACGGACACTTTTAATTATTTGGCAATTAAATTATGAGGGTCTTTTATTATTTTATGCAATTAAATTAAACATTGCACCTTAAATTAGCATATTATTGCAATTTTTTTTGTTTTCACATATATTTAATACATTTTTAAGGATAAAATACTTGTGTGATTTCCCCTCTGTTACGCTTGGAATTCTACTATTTTGTTTTCATTAAGGTGAGCATTTTTTTCTCATACAGTAAGGTTTCATATTTTTGGCACAAAAGTGTCCTAAATTTTCCGATTCCTATGCATTCCAGATAGTCAAGTTAGTTTTACTGTAATACACAAATGAATGAAGTTAATCTTTAGTATGTGATCGAGAATGATATGTTAAACTCCTTTTATATTTGAATGTTTTATCACACAAACTACATGAAAAACACTTTTCTTTAGAATGAGTAAGGTAATGAGAATTTAAATAATTTTTACGAGGAAATCCTTTATTGCATATGTTGCACGAATAAGGTTTCTCATTAGTATGTGTGCGATAATGTTGGTTTAAATTAGTTTTTTGAGTGAACCTTTTTTTACAGATACTGCATGAATAAGGCTTTTCATTTGTATGAATACGATAATGAGAAATTAAATCACCCTTGAAAGTGCATGCTCTATCGCATATATCACACACATAAGGCTTCTCTTTTGTATGAATACGAACATGTTGAGTCAAACTACTTCGCTCTGTAAATTTTTTATCACATATAGTGCATGAATAAGCTTTTTCGTTAGAGTGAATACTAATATGACGAGTTAAGGAATTTTTTAGAGCAAATTTTTTATCACACACACTGCATGAATAAGCTTTTTCTTTAGAGTGATTGCTGACATGTCGATGTAGATTACTTTTATAGGAAAATTTTTTATCACACAAATTGCAAGAATAAGCTTTTTCCTTAGAGTAATTGCCAATATTGTTATCTGTCAATATTTCATCACTCATTCTTTCAGTAAGAATAAAATAGCAAGAATTCAAATGACTCACAACGGAATTTCTTTTTACATAAATAAGGGTTTACATTCCATTGAAATTGCTTACAAGTGATTGTTGACAAAAACGTCCCTTAAAATTTTTGCTCATTTATTTTTTACACTCATGCCACATAAAAAGGCTTTTACTTAATATAGAAAGGGAAACGATATTTGTAATGAAAATAACTTTTCTGCGAATCTTTACACTTTTATATTTCATGACTAATTCTATAAATTATATAACTATCATAGAAATTTTCATACTACACACACTGCGTTAATAAGTTTTTTTTTTCAACATGTTGATGATTACAGAAAATTTCTTAAACAGTAAAGGCAACTATCAAGCTCCATAGAGATAAATAGGTAAGCAAACAAACGCAACGAGATACAAAAATTAAAATGTAAACAAACAACTTGCAGCCTGATTCTTTATAGAGGATAAAATTGCAGTTAATTGAACAAATAATATCACATGTTATTGTTCACTTTTTCTTTAGTAGATGGCGTTGTCATCCTATGTCTAACAATTTGCTTACTCTAGTTCCGGTTAAAAAGTTTGCAGCTGCTTACTACATGTTATTCTGATAGGCGATGTTTTCAAACGGATAATTTTGTTTTCAATAAAAGAAATAAATTAGATAATTTCTGAGCTCAAATCTGCCATATTTCATAAGATATTAATGTTAATATGTAATTCTGGTGAGTTTGAAGTGAAAATTTGTTTTAGTTTTTTAGAGATATATTGTTAAAAAAGGTGACATGGTTGCTAGATTTTGAATAACTCGCTTTTTTGGCAGTCTTGATATGGCCTCTTTCCATAAGTTTATTACTGTTTGTTCTTGTTGCAAGCTGTGCACCATCTTACGTTAGTGTTAACACTTTTAGCATTGTAAACACCAGTATTGTTAGCATTGTAAACACAAGTAATAAGTAATCAAATACATTGTTTGCAAGAATCTCAAAACACAATGATGCCAAATGGCTTTAAAATACAACGGAAACAGTAAACAGGAAATTTAGGCGGTACCGAGCTTGTAGCGTTCCCTAGTGTAGAAAAGACCATCCATAAAAATATATGGCTGTTGTCAATTTTTCAATATTATTTGAAATATGTCAACAGAATTAAATTTATAGTGAACACACTAAATAGTCTGCGAAATTAGAACATCAAACAATCAAACCTTTGCTTGCATCTCTAGTGCATTTTAGTACGCGCTGGGAAATAATGTAATAAAATGTTTAAAAAATTAGATAAAAATAATTTTTTCTACTTTTGAAAAATAAATTCTTATCCAAGTAGCACCTAATAATAGATAACATCAGAAAATCGGCAAAATCTAACGTTATCTTGCACAACTTCTAATATTAGAAAGATATAAGAGGTCGCTGTTTGCTCAGCATTATATAATATTAGATTCTATGCAAACTAATATTATCTAGCGTTCACCATAATATTATTTTGCATTAGTTTTGATGCTATATAATATTAGACTTTGTATTTTCTGATGTTATTTTGCTTTGCTTTTTATTTTTTTGAAGTAAGCAAGAGGAAGATATGGAAAGCAGTAGAATAATTCGGCGATATACTTTTACTTAATTTTCTGTATTGTTGTGAAGCAATGAAACATAGAACAATAGTTTTATGTCATTCTATGCATTATTTACTTAGCAATACAGAAATGCTAAATAAAATTATATTAGCGAATTCTGCTACCTTCCATTTTTATCCTCCTTACTCCGAAGTATGTCTTATGTTCAGCTGATTTTTTTGAATATTTCAAACTTAATTAGGAAATAATATTTTATTGCAACTTTTATTAATATTTTTTTCTTTTATTCATACAATGGGTTTTCTGACAAATTTTATATCATTAATAATTTTTAAGTCTTCAATTTTGAAATGTACTCTTAATTTTTTTTTTAAAAACTGGACTCATTTTATCAAAATCTCAATTTAATTTGTTAGTTTGTAATATATATTTTTTAAATGTGTAACTTCAGCCATGTGTAATTTCACAATTATCATTCATTATTTATATTCTGAAATTATGTAATAAAAATCACACTATATAATTATAAAGTTATATATTTACATTCGAACTGAGTGGAAATTTAAACTTAAAATGTTTTCCCTTTATAATATTAAAATTGTTCGATTTTTAAGTGGACATTTCTTGTAATAATTGCCACAATAAAGAACAAAATTTAAAAATATTCAAATTACTTACTTCAACAAATTTACACATATTTTTTCCCCCTCTCTTTTCACTGGAATTGCTAAATGGAGAAATACTTACGTAACTTTACTCTTTTAGTATTTGAAATTTTATTTAGCAAAACACCTAAAAACAAAACTTCAACACACGGTAGAAATTTTTCCAGGGAATGAAACCGGGAAGGCAACTAATATCATGAAAATTGCTAATATTTTTTTTATAATGTTAAAATAACTTTTATGGGCACATCAGAAATTTTCATCAATTCGATAATTATTTAAAGGTGTTATGTTCAATTAAACTAACAATCTTTGCAAAAAATTTACAGAACATTTTAATTTCAAAACTGTCAGTAAATATTTTGTGTTATCTAAATTAAATTTGCACAAACACATAATTGCATACAAGAATGAGACTAAAAAATAATAATTTTTTTTACGTTATCTTTTAAAAGTTGCCTTTAGTATTAATGATAAAAATTTGACTACAATCAATTACTCTTTTGAGAAAGTTACTATAACAGAATAGATTTTTGATTAAGACAATTCCATTCTTTGTTTTTCTCTGATTATATAGTATGTGTTATGAAGAATTAGTCTTAAGAAAAAAACATATATTATGCATTTAAAAAAGTTGCTTTTGCAAAGAACCTTATATATAAAAATTTAAACAAGATTCTTCTCTGATTTAAATTTTCTGTTTTTACAATAATGTAAATAAATGTTCTGCTAAATTTTAAATATTAAGCCAAATAAATTTTTACTATTATCATTATTTTACAATTACATTAATTTAAACATCATAAAAATATATATACACTTATCTCAAATTTGAACTGCAAAATTGAAGTAATAAATACAATGCTAGTAGTATAATTTACTCATAAGTTAGAGTTAATGTTTTACAATGATGTTAAAATAAAATTGCTTCTGATATCTTTAAAATTTCTTGAATTTTCATAATACTTAAACATAACTATAATGACTAAAATAAATTACACAATGCAGTAGTTAAGAATAAAAAAATATATCAAATAAAATCATGACAAACATTTCACTACTTAATTATTTTATTTTAAAACAAAACACAATATAAATATAACTTCACTCAACTATAAAAGCAATACATTCTTATCATCATTGTTTAATACAAGCTTATCGATATTCTTTTCTTAAAATATAAGTTAAGAACACGTAAATGGTCCACAACAATTGCGCATATCACACAAACACACAGCAAGGATGAATCGCACAGGATGCACCTTTCTTCAAACTTTCAGCTCCGGCAGATTTAAAGAGAACCTATCTATAAAAATCTATTCTATAGAATACATTTTTGTAAAATAAATTTTTAGAATTTGAAGAATAAATTTTTAGAAAGGAAATAGTGAGATTTTAATTGTTGTTGTTGTAATTCATTTCCGTCGCACTAGAGCTGCACAATGGGCTATTGGCGACGGTCTGGAAAACATCCCTGAGGATGATCCGAAGACATGCCATTGCAATTTTGATCCTCTGCAAAGGGGATGGCGACCTCCGCCTCGGTAGCCCGACGACCTGCACTCGAAGTCGAACACTTCACGGTAGAACAGTTTAACGAGGACCAAATACTGTTCACCCTCGGTTTCTACGCAGACTGATTCAAGTGGTCACCCACCCATACACTGACCGCAGCCAGTGATGCTTGACTTCGGTAATCTGCAAATATACCTATCAAGAGTTTTAAATAACAATTTCAATAATTAATTTATTGCTATTAAATCAACTATTATTATTAAATTAATTATTAAATCAATCAACTGCAGTTGATTGATTTAATAATTCTCTCAAAACATTCTCTATCAAAAACATATTTTTGAGCGAAAACTAAAAATTCTTTAACAATATTAAAAAGGAATTAAACACATTTAACAAAAGTTATGTTCCATTTAAATATGGTTCAAGTTCAGAAAAAATACAGTGTTCTAGTGTTTCATTATTTCTAAATATACAGATGAATTTTTTTTTTGTTGTTATTTACATTGACAAAAATTTAAAACTAAAGAAAATCAAATTTTAATAATATTTTGAAAGTTTCAAGGAGGGCCGCACGATCCCCTTTGATGTTTATTTCTCTGCAGCAGTTTATGAAACGAATATATTTTTTTTATTCAAACTTGTTTGCTAACAACAGATTAGTGTGAATTCGCCTACGAAAAAGTATTTTTTTAAAAAAAAGATCTCCCTTTTTATTATTAAAAAAACGAGAAAAGAAAAATTATCTATCCTATTTATTGTTTTATAATTCCTATTTTATCATGAAAGGAATAATGAGTGAAAAAATAGAACAACATTTATTTTTGTGTGTTTCAAATTAATATACAAGGAGTAGCTTAAAAATTGTCACGATTTTAGTGATTTAGAATTTTGAGACACTCGACTACTGAAAAGTTTCATTAATAATAATGAAACTTATTGGGGTATGATAATCTTCAAAATAAACCTTTTTAGACAAGTGATTTAAAAAAAAATGCATATTATAATGAAATATTTCATAATTCTTGTAAATACTCTTTGTTATCAGAAGATTAATAGTCTGAGTGAGTATTTCTGATTGATATATAATATATGATAACTCTTTTCTTGTTTAGGGATTTTAAACTAAACTTTTTTTGAAAGAGCAGGAGGGGAGGGCTCCACCTTTTAAAAATTTTTTGAAATCACCAAAAACAATTCTATAATAGGGAATGTCATACACTATGCTCGATGCTTTGATGCAGAAGCTCATTTTGGTTTTAGGATGGTTACTTAAAAAAGAAGTTTAAATAAAAACGATTTACCCTTTTTCCTATTTTATTTCGAAGCCATATAGACTAACAAATTATTTTTAAAAGTTTTGCTATTTTTTAACGAATAAGTTTTAAAATGATAACTTGACTACGATTTCAGAAATTAGTTATTTATGAAATCGTTAAGAACGAGGGAGCTAGTTTATTTGGAACGCCATTCTCTGAGGTTTATTTTGATTTCACTGACGTTTACTTTAAATAAACGACGTTAAATAAAAGCAATTTCTAGAATTATATTCGATAAAGCAGCCCTTCAATTTTGAAATTAAAATGATATATAAATTAAAACTGTAGTTAATCTAAAGGCTGCGTACATTGAATATTCCGCCTGAAATAAAAACTGTTATTACACCATTATTATTAAAAATAAAAAATATAAATAATAATAATTTTTTAAGGCTTAGAAACTTATATTTT